GGCCAGGGCGAACAACGCGGCGGTTCTCCACCGGGCGCGGGGCGCAAGCAGGGTGGGAGACGTGCCCCTCTGTTTTCTGAGCGGGCGCTCAGGGGGGCATCGAGGATTCGGCCTTCCCCACCCGCATCGCCCATCTGGGGGGCGCAGCGTTGCCGCGCCATGTCTTGGCATGACATCTGGAACTTCCAGACGAGACTTTTTTGAGGGCCGTCGAACACGGGGGGCAAGGGGGGCCTGCATCGACTGCGCGCTAGGTAACGCCAAGGGCAAACAACTGGCCACCACTGTCACCCTGCTCCGCGGCCCCCCGCCAGGCAGCACCCGAGTCTGTTAGCCCCCCCTAGATCTGGACGTCGCCAGACAACCAACGAGGAGACTCAGGGAGGTCATTGCGCATCCATTTCCCCCCGCTGCTATCGACTGCGAGGAACAATGCGCCCTCGTGGACAGCATCGAGCAAGCCAGCCATGGGAAAGTAGACGCAGCTGACGCAATCGATGAAATTGAGGAACGGTTCGGCCTTGCGAGTCAGGCTGAGCATGATTATCGCAATGAACCCCACACCAGTTGTGCGCCACAAGATCGAAACAAGCCATCCACCGGGCATGGCAAGCCTCCAGTCGGCCAAGGCTGCCACGCGGCCGCGCTGGTCAGCCCAGAGCATGGATCCACCAGCCGCATGACGAATGACGAATGACTAGGACAAGTTTTCCAGGCAATTTAGATCCATCAAGAATGACCTGACTGTTCACCACCAGCACGTAGACGACCATGGTGCCAAGCACCCTGGCCTCCGAGCAAACGTCGAGCTCGCATGGGCGGCAGTCAGCGCGCTCGCTGCTAGAGCCCGGCCCACCAGTCCCACCGAGTGTCCGTACGCCTGGGATCGCGTTGATATTCCGTCTGGCCTGCAGCTCGACAACCGCACGGCCGCCACTCCTGCCTTGCTGAGACGCCTCTCGCTCACCACCAAAGCTCGCCGCATTATGGCGCGCATCAGCCGCGCGCGAGCTTGGGGCGGGGGCAGAGACAAGAGCCACAAAAAACCAAAGTGGCTGGCAACTCCAACGCCGTTTACCTTCGCATCCCCCGCACGCGGCACCCGGAACTCACGGGGGACAGGAGCGGGAGAGGATCCGCCGGGGCACGACGCGATTCCACCACCGCGCCAAGCGATTCCGACGACGGCAGCGATAGCGACGACCATGTCGAGCCCGGCCAAATTCAGTCTAAGCACACCGTTGCGGACACCACCGCCATGAGCAGACTCGCGACCGAAACGTGGGAGCCCATCCTGGACAGACACCGCGCCACGGGGAGCCGAAACGACGAGGCCGCTCCCGCATGGGGATGCCAAAGCGGAGCAGCAACAGGAATTCCCAGAACCAGCAGAGGCCAAGCTTCTCATCCTCATTTGATGATGCTCTCGCACATGCCCGCAGGGCCAGACCTGCCACCACTGCGGGGGGGTCTCGACAGGTGGGCTATCAAAGAGGCCGAAAACGCCTCCCGATGGAATGCTGCGCCTCTTCGGCAAAGCATTACGGGCCATGCAACGGACGGGTGCAGTGCCTGAACCGCTACTCCACGCCCCCAACCCATGGTTACCCACGGACCAAAGGCCACTGCCCGTCATGTCCATCTGAGTGCATGCCAGGGGAGCACCAGCTCACCTTAGCCTGGCTTCCTGGAGAGCCCACGGGGCCCACCCAACCAGCTTCGGCGCCGCCCCGCACGCCACCACCATCGATGTCAGCACCACAATCACCCTCCAAGTGGAGTACGCGCGGCACCTCATGATGCCCTTGGCGGCTCAAGAGTGAACAGTCATTGACATATGTTTCAACATGCCCCACCACGCTGGCTGCCCGCGCGACGTTGCGCGGGCCGGGCGCCATTTCTACGGCAACCGCGCCCGACGTATCCGCGCGGGGGAGGCTTAGTCCCCAACCCTTGTGGTGAACCAGTGGCCATCTCCATGGCTGTTCTTTCTCAGCCGGCGAGATCAAGCTTCTCGCGCGCGTCTGGACCCAGCGACAGCATAGGTACATGCCAGGGTCGGTCGGCAGTGCGTTCGCCGACGACACCAATTCCACAGCCCCGACGGCACACGAGTTGCAGGTTTCCCCCGACCATGCCTTGTTCGTCGACAAGTTGTCGGGGCAGAGAATTCAATTGAGCAACGTCGTCGGTTGGGCCTCGGGCGAAAAACTCAACGGCCAGGTCGCGGCTCTCCACCTGGGCGACAACACATTCAACCCACGCCGCCAGGTGAAACTGGCGGGGGGCCACGGCTGGCGGCAGAGTGAGACGCGCAATCCAACGACTTCCGCACGTCGGGCGCCTTCCCGAAGGCACGACAGCGAGGGCCGAGTCGGCCAGGCCCCTTGCGGCTAGCATGCGCACCGCGGGAATGGACATCCAAGCACCCAGTTGAAGGGCCAGGGGCTCTTACAACAACGCTACGTTCGCCGCCGTCAGGTCCAAAGGGCGACCTTGGATCTCCCAAAAAGGCGCCCCCCGCCCTGGCCGCCCAAGGACGCCCACTTGAACTCGGTGCCACCACCCTCGCTGCCGCGCGCAAACACTCCAAGGCGGAGGACTGTTCGGCAGAGTCGGGCAAACCATTGCCCAATTCGATTGGACATCGCCCGAGTTCGGAACAATATCAATGATTGGGAGACCCGACCCACATGGATCCACGAGCCAGCTGGCTCTCCAACGCGCATGCCCAGGGCCGCACAACGGAGGCCCCTCCTCCGACGCACCGCAAAGACACGACCTCGGGGCCGTCGCCGCTGCCAAGCAGGGCCTGGATCAGTTTGCCAGCGCGTGGCTCTTGAGATTCAGACGCAAAGACCAATGCGCTGCCTGACGCGACAGCTTCTTCTCCAATTGCCTCTGCGGGGGTGGCCCCACCCGGCAGAGAGGCGATCATCGCTGACACTTCGGCAGGCCCATCTCCGCTGCGCAGACGGTTCGATTATGAAGAATAAGCCCAAGGACACGGCGTGGACACCTGCACTGCGAAAACCAAAGGGTTGCCTTCAAGAAGCCATGATCACAGAGCAGCAATGGCAGAATCTCCCAGCACGCACCAGGCGCTGCGGCCTGCCGCAGCAACCCCCGGCCTGCCTCGATCCAAAGGCCGCTTTGGCCAACGATTGGCTCGCGCAGCTCGCCCCGCGACCGCCCCAAGAGGGCCCAAACGCAGAATCCGACCAAGAGTGCGCAGAGGAGCGCGGGGCCAGACGGGCGCGCGTGGCCTCGGACGGGGCTTGTTCCAACCGAGCTCATTCCATGCTGGCCAGGGCAGGTTTCGGTGATCACTGCGGGCCCGACCTCCAGCTCGACCACTCTCCCCGCGTCCACGGGGCGGCTCAGTCTGCGCAAGCGGTGG